AGGAAGTGTGGTGTAAGCTAAACAGACAGCTCAGAAGGCATGTGCTACAGAAGCTGCTGTCTGTCCATCTCAACATGCTGAGTCTCCCGACAAGATGAAGACCACCTCCTCATCTCCATCTACCACAAACAGTATACTTCTAAAACATACTATAGCCAGCAAGTTTTTGTCTGTACTATGTCCTCTGGCTGAAATTTCCTGTTGCATACTTTTGTCCTAACTGGACTCTAGGTAACTGTACCCTCTTCTTCTCCAGTTCACATCACCACTTCTCTTTGTCCACTGAAGTGTTGACCCAGTGAATAAATTTAAGATGTTTAGAATTAAGAAATATTAATTATTGAATAGCGAATCAGTGTTTTCTTTTTTTCCTATATATTTCTAACTTCAAAAATATTTGTTTAGAGTTATAATGTATGTGTTCAAGCTATAAATTAAGAAAATGTCAGTATATATCATTTTTAAGAGAAAATTTTATATTTTTTTATCAGATTCAACCAATTTTTTATTTGTTTGTTTGTTTGATTGTTTGTTTCAAGACAGGGTTTCTCTGTGCAGTCCTGGTGTGCTGGAACTTGCACGGTAGACCAAGCTGGCCTCAGAGAAGATCCGCCTGCCTCTGCCTCCCAAGTGCTGGAATTAAAGGGCTGCGCCACCACTGCCGGGCCAACTAACTTTTTTAAAAAATATAAGTTAGCAAGGAATCCTTAAAGTTCTCAGTGACAGTTCAACTAGAACAAACAGTAGATCTTTAAAATTTGTTTATCAATCAATAAAAATAAGTTCCAGACATTCAGCCCATGCATAGTTTTTGAGCTGTTCATTGTGGCTGCATGTTTTTGACCCCAGTACTTAGGCTAACAAATTTGGTTGCCAGCCTGAGCTATATATAGCAAATACAATTTCAAAAACTCTTTTAAAAAATTATGGAGTATAGCTCGATAAATCCACCCATGTATATAATATATAGTGATCATATCTAAAATAATTAACATTCCATCTCCTTAAACATGTATCATTTCCTTGTGTAGGCAACCATCAGTCTCCTCTAGTACTCCAAAGAATACCTAATAACCTGTTATGACTTGCAATCAGCTGCTGAGTCCCAGAGCACTGGCACTTATTCCTCCTGTCAACCCACACCCCTTTTTATGGATTGCTTGCTTGTTTTCACTCAGATGATGTGAGTTTTTGAAAAGGTCCTCTGAGAACTCCATATGTGGCCTCTTGAAATGGATTTTTGTAGTAGTGTGTGGAAAAGGAGTGGTATGCAAATAGAGCAAAGCTCTACTTCTAAATGAAAATTTGAGAGTCTCAGTTCTGTCGTACCACCTTGAAACTTTCATTTTGGATGGTGGCAACCTAGGAAACAAGTCAATCCTTAAAATGTGCAACTACCTGATCTGGAAGCTGGAACCAGTAATTTAGGTTCCAGCTTTTCTTTAACAACCCTTTAGCCAGGCACGTTCAAATTGCTTTGGTTGTTAGTGTGATTTTGGTCAAGTGAGCAGCTGTAATGTTTCTTAAATCTGGTCATTACAGCTTGAATAACAGGTTTTGATAAAAATCTGTTTCCAAATTGTAATTTGTGTAACCTGAGCCCTTGGAATGGGTAGAATGTCCTTCTTTGGGATGAGGATGTTATCCAGTAACAGCAAGGCTTAGTGAAACAATGAAAGCAAGAGGTGTTTTTGTAATAGGTTTTAGCCTGAACTTAACCAAATTATAGAGTATTGCTAATCTTGGTGTATATTTATTGCTTGGTAGGACAGTATCTGGTTAGTTCTTATTTTTACAGTTTTTATTACATTTTATTCCATATAACTCTTCATAGTACTGGGTAGTTGATCATGGGCTGGAGAGGTGGCTCAGATGTTAAAAACACTGGCTTCTCTTCCAGATGTCCTGAGTTTAATTCCCTGCAACCACCTGGTGGCTCATGACCATTTATAAAGGGATCTAATGACCTCTTCTGGGGTGTAAGTGTACATGCACACAGAGCACTCGTACATTTAAAAAGATACATTTAAAAATTTAAAATAAATTTTATTCCACATGTCCTTGAATGGTACTGGGGAGTTGATCGTTCGTCTCTTGAAAGTCTTTGTTTCTATGTTTGTCTTCTTTAAACGTGACTGAATCTTTCCTAGTTTAAACATAAAATAAAAGCAATCTGCTTGAATGTGCTACTTCTAACAAAGTGTTATCTTGCACTCTTTTGTGTATATCTATATATGCATGGTGTATGTTTCTGGGGGTGTGTATGTGCATCTGTGTGTGTATGTGTGTTTGTGCGTGTGAGTGTGGTTAGGTGGACGTGCATAGGAAGGCCAGAGGCTGACACTGAGAGTCATTCTCCATTGCCATTTACCCTGTTCTTCTAGAGCCAAAGGCTTATTGATTGGGCTGACTGCCTGGCCCAGAGATCTCCTAAAATCCATCAGCCTTTCCTTTCCTGCTGGCAGTACTGGGGGCTCACAGACTGTTGGTGTTAGGAATCTAAACTCAGGTTTTCATGCGATATGGCAGGTACTTTGTTGACTCCATCTATCCATCCATCCATCCATCCATCCATCCATCCATCCATCCATCCATCTTTATATGGATTATAATCTATAAGTAGTTGTTTTCTTTCTTTACCAAATATTTGCTACTTGTTTTATTTTGGTGATGGAGATAAAACCCACAGCTTTGAGCAATCCCAAACAAGCACTTTACTGCCTAGCTGTCTTCCCAGCCCTTGTTTGTTTGTTTGTTTGTTTGTTTGTTTGGCCTTTTGAGATAAGATCTCACTAAGTGGCCCAGACTAACCTGAAATTTGAGGTTTTCCAGCCTCTACCTTGAGAGTGCAGGGTTACAGACCCTCACCTTCACTCCTGGCCTGTTTTTATTTCAGTGTGATTCTCGCCCAAACCCCTGCAAAGGTGTTCACTTTCTGATCTTTGAGCCTTTTCTTTTTCTTACACTCTTCCATCTGTTGCATTTAACAGTGTTATCATCTTTGGAAAGCTCTTTCATCTACATTTCTGTAGTAATCGTGGATATATAACCAATCTACCCTTTTCTTCTATGGAAACTATGCCCTCTCATTTGACTTCCCTCAATCCTTACCTTTCTCTGAATATCCTGTTTCCTCTTGCTGTATTTCTTCGGGTCTTCTGCCCTGGTGGTGGTTCCGATCTGTTGGCCTAGCTTTAGCTCTTTAAATGTTGTTGACTTTCAAATTCTTCATTTTGGCCCTAACCTTTGTCTCCTCAGCACCACCCTTTTTTTTAACCAAAACTTTTACATCTGCTTCTTTAACATGGCTACTGCCTATATGCCATGATCTGTCTTTTGCCTTTCTTGCATGGTGCATGTAACCGGGGCTAATATTTTACCTTTACTTACTGTTGACTACCAGAGATGACCAGCAGCATTTTGGAAACAACTAGACATGGTGGTACACACTTGTAATCCCAGAACTAAGTGTGGAGACAAAGGACCAGGAGTTCAAAGACAGTCTCAGATATATAACATCCTGAGTCAAAAACCAAATAGCAACAGAAACAAAAACAACAATTTTAGAATAAGGCTATACTCAGATAGGACTCTCATTTTAGGTAAAGATAACCTTATTATATCTCTAGATGGTTTCCTATAGCTTTTCTTGATAGTTTGGTGAAGCTTAGTGAATTATCTGGGTACTCTAGAAAGGAGTGTGACTCCTCTCAGTAAACCCAAGTTGGAGAGAGCTGTCTAGCACCACATTTAAGGCATGACTCATCATGGCAGTAGTTCCTGCTGCTGTACCCTCTTCTCTATCTTCACTTGCTGGTAGGTAGTTATACTTCAAAAGTTGACGGTTCTTTTCACAAAGACAGAGCTAGCAAGTACCTAGTTGTGAACACCCAGGCTTTTCATTTTTAATGTTCTTAATGAGTCTACTGTTTTGGGTTTTTGTTTTGTTTTGTTAATTTGAAATTTTTAAGGTTTTTTTTTTTGTGTGTGAGGTGTGGTAGGGTCATGTGCTGGTGGTGGTGAGAGGACAACTTTTGGTAGTTGGTTTGGTCCATCCACCATGGCTTCTGGAGAGATGGAACACAGGCAAAGACTTGTGCTTTTACTTCCTGAGCCACCTCACGCCCTAGATTTGAGACACTTTATCCATTATCCTTGGTACTCTTTTTTGATGCATGGCTTGCTTTATCTTAGATTAGTCGAAGATTTTCATACTGTCTTATTTTTCCTTTTGACATGACCTCGTGATTGGTGTGAAAAGCACAACAAAGCTCATTTTGTATGTTTTCTACCCTATACTTGGGATCAGCAAATTCCCCCAGAGTGTTACAGGTTCTGCTTGTAGATTCTTTAAAGTCTGAGCCCTTCCACTACAACGTGCAGTTCACTGGTAGTTTAGAGTGTTTTCTTTCTTTTTTTTTTTTAAGATTTATTTATTATGTATACAGTATTCTGCCTACATGAACACCTGCATGCCAGAAAAGGGCACCAAATCTCACTAAAGATGGTAGTGAGCCACCATGTGGTTGCTGGGAATTGAACTCATGATCTCTGGAAGAGCAGCCAGTGCTCTTAATCTCTGAGCCATCTCTCCAGCCTGAGTATTTCTTTTGCAAGGCTAGTTTTTACTCATTGATTTTTTTTTATAAGTTTATTCATTCAGGGTTTCAGGTGCCTGTTATTGTTAAAAGCTCAGCTCTTCAGCTGTGACTGATGAGCTTTATGTCTTGACTTTAAAGTGCTCATTTGTCCATTTTCCTCTATATTTTAGGAAGAGACAGAGAGGAAGAATACTGTGTTACTAGATTAAAAGCACAGAGTTAGAAAAACAGCTCTTTCCCAAAGACCTAATGGGTACATGATTTGGAGAAGGCACTCCAGTGACTTGCCAGGCTGCCTGAAGTTATGGTATTTGTGATTTACCCAGCAGGCCTGAAGGTTTTAGGAACTGCGAATTTAACCTCTTTGTCTCCACTATGCTCTAACTTGTACACATTCAGTTTCTGTTCCAGATGATCGAGCTGAACAACGAACCTGTCTCATCTGTGGGGACCGTGCCACAGGCTTGCACTATGGAATCATCTCCTGTGAGGGCTGCAAAGGTTTTTTCAAGAGAAGCATTTGCAACAAACGTGTGTATCGGTGCAGTCGTGACAAGAACTGTGTCATGTCCCGGAAGCAGAGGAACAGGTGCCAGTACTGCCGCCTGCTTAAGTGTCTCCAGATGGGCATGAACAGGAAGGGTGAGTTGGTGCTCAGGGCTCTCTCTGCCTACCCTTCACCCATCCCCTCATCTGCAACTATTATACTTTCCAATTATTCTTTCACTGTGCTCTATACTCCACAAACCTATTCAGGGAACAGTGATAGGAATTTAATTGGGAAGGCATAAAGTAGGATATTGTTTTGTGTACTAGATACAGCATACTCAGACTGTAGAAATATTTAGAAGTTTGTCTAGTTCGGTAAAGAGTTTGAAGTTTATTGAGTTTTCTGGGCACTATTAGCCTGAGATACCATGACTAAACTGATTCTAATCTTTGAAGGATTAGGTAGAGAGAGCAAAATAGCCAACTAGAAAGTTATTAGAAAGGCCAAGCAGGGGCCTGGAGAGAACACATACTGCTGTTGTAAAGGATTCTGGTTCAGTTTCCAGAACGCACATGGCAGTTCAGAACCGACTGTGACTCTAGATCCTCAGTTCTAGCGAATCTGATGCCTTCTTCAAGTCTCTCTGGGCAGTTGCTTTCGCATGCACATATCTCTTGCATAGACACATAATTTAAATTTTTGTAAAATAAATATTTAAAAAAATATACTGGATGGCAAGAAGGCTCAATAGATAAAGGTGCTTGCCACCAGGCCTCTCCACCTGAGTTTCATTTCTAGGACCTGTGTGTTTATCTCCTGACCTCCACAGGAGTGCCTTGATATATTTGTACCCCGACACATACATACCTACATACAATAAATGTATTTTAAGTGTATTTATTTAATTTCATGGTATGTGTGTTCCTGAGTATATATATTTGTTTCGTGTTTACATAGGAACCTGTGAATCAATAAAGGCATCAGATCCTGTGGTACTGGAGTTACAGACATTTGTGAGCCAACATGTGGGTGCTGGGAACTGAACCCAGATCCTCTGCAAGACCAGCCAGTGCTCATAACCACTGTGCCATCAAGGTGTTAGAAATGATAATGAAAAGCTCTACAGTGGTAGTACACACCTTTAATTAATCCCATACTCAGGAGGAGAGAGAGAGAGAATATGGTGAAAAACTAAACTAGAAATGAAAAAAAAAAACATAAAAAGGATATTTTGAGAGCTTTACTATTTTAGGGAAAGATGAGAGAAAGGCCTGGCAAAATAGCTCAGCAGGGAAAAGTGCCTGGCACCAAAGCCTGGTGACCGGAGTTCAGTGACTGCAGACCATATGCTAGAAGGAGCGAATCAACTCCAGACAGTTGTCCCCTGACCTTCACAGGTAGGTTGTGGCATATATACCCCTATACACACATATATTAGCTAAACAAAAAGGAAAAAGAAAAGTAAGAGTTATTAATAATTTAATGTCTTCTAGTTTATTTACAGAACCTATATTTATTGAGCACTTAGGTGTGCCATAAACAACTCTGTACTTTGCATTCTCCATGTGTTGGTCATACACACCAATCCTATTGACTCTTTTTGTATTCCATCCTCTTTTATTGTACTCATTGTATTTCTTTTATTTTTGAGACATAGTCACATACTGTAGCCCAGGCTTGCAAAGATTTCTTTATATATTCTAGTCTGTCCTCCAACTTACAGCAACCTTCCTGCTTCAGCCTCAAAAGTGTTGTGACTATAGATATGAGCAACCATACCTGACTTCATTTTTCTTTCTTTTTTTTTCTATTGTATGTATGCTTAAATGATGAAAATCATTTTTTTTCAACTTTTATTAATTACACTTTATTCACTTTGTGTCCCCCCATAAACATTTTCCTAATCCCACATTTTCTCCCCCTTCTTCACGCATGCCCCTCCCCAAGTCCACTGATAGGGGAGGTCCTCCTCTCCTTCCTTCTGATCTTAGTCCTATTGACTTTTACCCCCAGTTTAAACATGCAGCTTGGGGACATAAAAATCACTTAGTAATACTTATCTTATGGATGATTATGGTGACAGTTAATAATTTTGAAGTTACAATGTGTTATGCAGAGCTCTGCCTAACCACGGAGGCAATATACTGTTCTATAAATTTCCTGAGTGGCATAACTATTTGCATATTAGAATACCATGTGTTTGCTGCATGTTAAACAAATATGATAGGAAGGCATTTGAAATGTTGCCAAGTTTGTTCCCTGCCTATCTTTGTAGCTTCTCTGGCTGGAGCAGGGTCCCAGGGCCAGATGTTACACCATTCTACATGCACTTGTTTGTTTTTCTACCTGGAAGCCCATTCTCTTCCCTGTTACTACTTGTCTCTTACAGAAATCCTTTCCAGTTACCAATATCAGACCAGTTCTGTCTTTCTACTCTTGGTTTGGCTTTCTTGATACTCCACTTTCCTCATCTCCATTGCCCAGGGCCTGTGACTGCTAAATACCTCAAGCCTCACTCTTAGGGATACCTTCTTGACAACATACACAGATTAATTATTCTGGTTATTTATTTGGCATGTGGGATTCTGAGCCTCCAGCTAAACTCATGCTTTAGGGAAGAGAAACATACTTTGTAATTCCTCTTAAAGCCCTGTGCTACAGCCCAGACGTGGATAGAGAGTAGCCTGTTTGTCGTCCCTGAAGCTGGTTTAGTAGCCTAGTGAAGGCTGCTGAGGGAAACCTGCCACCTTCTGGTTAATCTTGAGAAAGCAGGACTAAATTACATTTGCCATGGGCATTTTTGAAAGTGAATTCTCTGAAACTTTCATGGCTGGTGATGTACAATTTTATTTATTTTTCAAAAGCCATAAACTGTGCATTACTAAAAAGTGAGTTTTAATGGACATAAAAAGTTAGTCAAATGTGTTGGGGTGGAGAGATTGATCAACACCGTAATGATGAGTTCATCTAACTGGTATAAAAATGAATCACATAACCACACCAAGGTAGTAAGGAGGAAGGAAGCTGGCCTCGGAAAGCAGTATTTTAACTGAATATTGTAATGGTAAGGAAAAAATCATATACAAACAAAGCACTCTAGTTTGTAAAGTTGTTTCAAGGTTATATGTTAGGAATTCTGTCTTTAATTGACTGCTATGGTTGAACAAGCAAATAAATATACTGTATTTGAGAAAGAAGTTATTAATCAAGAAAGGCTAGAATGAAAACTTGGTAAAAATCAGTGGTATCAATATGGCACTCATGTCTGGGTGGATGGATAGATGGATGGACAATAGGTAGGTAAGTAGGTAGATAGATAGGTAGGTAGATGGATGGATGAGTTAGTAAACATACATGTATTTATAAAGTCTAATAGTTACATGAGGTTAGACTACACACACAGCACCCAGATCTTGTTTTTAGTGTCAGTAAAAATAGTGAGGTCTCCATGGAGAACTAATTGAATGCAGGACTGGAAGAAGAAAACTATAAGCCTGGAGAGTTTTAGAGTACTTGGAAAAAAAAAAAATAGGAGGTGCTTAGAGAGAGAATGGGTTGGAGAGCCTGAAGAAATGGCTTAGTGGTTAAGAGCATTTACTAATTTGCAGAGGACCAGAGTCTGGATCCCAGCACCCGCGTCAGGCAGCTCACTATCACCTTTAACTCCATCTCTAGGAGATTCAGGATCCGTTTCTGACCGCCACAGGCATCCACATAAACATCATAAATAGTAAGAGAGAGAGCATTTGTGGTCATGTGAGTGAGCACACAGGACACAGTGAAAGGGCACAGAACTCAACCTGAGAGTTTCTAGTAACTACGGTTGTTCTAACTGAATATCTCTAAATTTGTTTGTAGGCTCAGAAATAAGTATCTGCATGTTCATACTGATATAAATGCCTGACTGAAAAAACAGAAGTGACCCTTCTTCCTTATGAAAGAATTTCATTAAGTGGAGAAGGCATGATGAAAATACAAGTCACTGTTAGACCCGCAATACCCCAGAACTAACTTGAAGCCAAAGTCCACTGTAGGGAGTCCAACAGAAATTAGCAAGGGTTTAAACAAAAGTGTAGTCTATGACTGGTGAAACATCATGACCAAAAAACACGTTGGGGAGGAAAGGGTTTCTTTGGCTTATACTTCTATATCACTGTTCTTCATCGAAGGAAGTTGGGGGTCAGGAACTCAAACAAAGCAGGGAACCTGGAAGCAGGGTCTGATGCAGAGGCCATGGAGGAGTACTGCTTACTGGATTTGCTCACCAGCTTACTCTTCATGGCTTGTTCAGCCTGCTTTCTTATAAAACCCAGGACCATCTACCCAGGGGTATCCCCAACCACAATGAAGACTGGGCCCTACCTCCTTCAATTACTGATTAAGAGAATGTTACATAGTCTTGCTTATATAGCCTGATTCTATGGAGGCATTTTCTTGCTTGAGGTTCCATCCTTTCAGTTGAGTTTAGCTTGTGTCAAGTTGACATAAGACTATCCAGGATAGTTAGTATCACTAGTAAATATACCAGCATTTTTTACCCCTGTAAGAAAATGCTGAGAAAAGCTTAAGCACACATACACAGAAATGAGAGTATGGGGAGAAACAGACACATCCCGAGAGAGAGAGAGACAGAAGAAGTTCATTATCAGATTACTCATGAGAAAACTTAGGAGTCCATACTGAAGAGCATTTTTTTTTTCCTCAAAATAACATTGTTGGAAATACTTTTGGAAAGTGTCATGATCATGAAGACAAAGGCTGAAAAGTTGTTACAAATTGGAGTAAATAATAGAAGCATGATTTCTAAATGCAATGTTGAATTCTGGATTGGCTTCTGGACAGAGAAGACATTAGTAGGAAACTGGAGAAATGCTGAGAAAGCTTTACTTTTGTTAATATATAGAAGTATTGTACCAAAGTTAATTTCTTGGTACTGATGAATAGTCTATGGGCTATGCAGCAGATTGACAAAAGGAAAAAGCTAGGTACAGAACATACTGGAACTAACCATACTATTTAGCTATTCTATAAATGTGACCTACCTTAAAATATCAAAAAAAAAAAAAAAGGCTGTTGAGATGGTTTAGTGGGTAAAGGCCAACTCCCACAAGTTGTCCTCTGACCTTCATACACACACATACCATAGCACATGCATACCTACATGTGCACACACATTCTATACAATAAATACACATTTTAATGTAAAAAGTAACTTCAATTTTTTATTGTTGTGTCTATGTTTCTACAACTTAGTAGAGTCAGTTTTCTCTTTCCTCCTCTTATGGTAGTGTCAAGAATCAAACTTGGGTCAGTAGGCTTGCATGGCAATCATGTGTTTTTATTTTCCATCCTAGCTTTTACTTACTTACAGAATCCTCTAGAAAGTCCCACCCCAAGGACTTTGCAGATTCCCCATGGTTCCAGTTTTACTTCATTTTGTTTTGGTGTCAGGTTATTATAGCCAGACGTGTTCTCACATGGTGTATTGGTTTACCCTCTGTTATTGTTAATACTACCTCCTTCAAGCCCCCATCACAATCTTTTTTTTTTTTTCCAGAAATGCCAATGTGGACCACATCACTCCCCTGCATTCCTGCTTATCTCCAGGCTCATCAGCTATGTCCACAAGACATTGGCAACCTAGGCTTCTTATGATCTGGCCATATTTGGTCTCATTACTCACTACTCTTCCCACATATAACTCATTCTCCCAGAATACTTTGTCCTGATTCAACCACTTAAAGTTCCCAGAAAGAACAGGCCATCCTTTGAGCCTTTTAGTACTATTTCTCCCTTCCTTCCTTTTATTTATTTTTTTCAGAACAGAGTTTCTCTGTGTCTCTTTGGCTGTCCTGGAGCTCACTTTGTAGACCAGGCTGGCCTTAAATTGGCAGAGATCCACCTGCCTCTGCCTTCTGACTGCTGGGATAAAGAGAGAGTGCCACCACATCTCATACAATCTTTCATACACTCTTTACTGACCTTGAAGCAATATTTTCTACCTTCCTAAATCCTCCTGAAAGATTCAGTTCAAAAGTTGTCTTTTTCCAAAGCCTTTCCCTGTGTTGTGCCCCCATATTAAGAACCTTCATTAATAATATTACAAGGCATAGTGATACATGCCTATAATGCCAGCACATTAGAGGAGATAGCAAGGAGAAATTCTAAGTCAGCCTTAGCTATGTTACAAGTTCAAGGCCAGTTTGGGCTACATAAGACTGTCTTTAAAAAATTAATTTGATAATAATAATTGTTGTTGTTGTTGTTTTGTTTTGTTTGTCTCAAACTCTGGTCCCAGGATATCTAGTACCCTCTGCCAGCCTCTGTGGAAACCATACTTGGTACACAGAAATACATACAGACAAAACACCCATATGCATAAAAATAAAGTTTAAAATTTAAAGCTTAAAAACAAACCCCACCTAAGTATCATTTAGGGGCTGGATAAATGGCTCAATGGTAAAGAGCACTTTCTGCTCGTGCAGAGGACCCAAATGGTTTCCAGTACCCACAATCATCTGTAAGTCTGATTCCTAGGAATCTTATGTATCTTCTGACCTTTGTGGGCACCAGGCATGTATGGGGTATACACATGCAGGAAAGATACTCGTGTGCGTGCGTGCATGTACGTGTGTTGAGCCAGGGTCTCACCATATGGATCTCAATATCCTGGAACTCTTCTTCTGTAGATGAGGTTGGCCTCAAATACACAGTGATCAGACTTTCTCTGCCTGCTGAGTGCTAGGACAGATAAGTTTTCATTTTCTTCATAAATGACCGTGAGTGTGCTTCTGACTGTCTTACATTTCTTTCTAGCCATCAGAGAAGATGGCATGCCTGGAGGCCGGAACAAGAGCATTGGACCAGTCCAGGTGAGTCCTTATACCCACTCTCTTAGTATGTTCTAGAAGCTTGGTAATCAAAATGTTCCTTCAGCCATTCCCCTTGATCCTCTCTTCTGCCATCTTTGTTTTCATTCCTATAAAACTGCTTTTAGAGTCTGAATGTGAAAACATTTTTAAAGTTGGTTTGGTTTTTTTTGTTTGTTTGTTTGTTTGTTTTTTGTTTTTTAAATGTGCATTGGTGTTTTGCCTGCATACTTGTCTCGGTGAGAGTGCCAGAACTTGGAGTTACAGGCAGTTATGAGCTGCCATGTGGGTGCTGGGAATTGTACCTGGGTCCTCTAAACCCCAATGCGCTTAACTGCTGAAATTTTTAAAGTCCTAAGTGTTGAAGTTAATGGATTCAAGCTCTTCTTATGATCTCTCAATCCCTTCCTAGGAATTTCACAGGCAATGAGCTCATTTCTGGTTCTAAATCATCCAGAGATGGTCAGAGATGATCAGTCAGTTAAAGTTATAGGTAACTTAGCCTGCTGGTAATCAGCAAAAATCACCTTGTTGTTCATGTTCTTTTTTTTTTTTTTAATTTTTTTTTAATAAATTATAGTTTATCTACTTTGTATCTCAGCTGTGGCCCCCTCACTTGTCCCCTCCCAATCCCACCTTTCCCCTTCCCTCATCTCCTCCCATACTGCTCCCCAAGTCCACTGATAGGGGAGGAGGATCCCTCTGACCCTAGCCTATCAGATCCTATCAACACTGGCTGCATTGTCTTCCTCTGTGGCCTGGTATGGCTGCTAACCCCTCAGGAGGAGGTGATCAGGAGCAGGCCACTGAATTCATGTTAGAGACAGTCCCTGTTCCTATTACCAGGGAACCCACTTAGAGACTGAGCTGCCATGGGCTACATCTGTGCAGGGGTTCTAGGTTATCTCCATACAAGGTTCTTGGTTGGAGTATCAGTCTCAGAAAAGACCCCTTTGCCCAGATTTTTTGATTCTGTTGCTTTCCTTGTGGAACTCCTGTCCTCTCCAGGTCTTTCTATCTCCCCCTTCTTTCATAAGATTCCCTGTACTCTGCCCAGAGTTTGGCTATGAGTCTCGGCATCTGCTTAGATTCCCTGCTGGGTAGAGTCTTTCAGAGGCCCTCTGTGGTAGGCTCCTGTCCTGTTCCCTGTTTTCTCCCTCTTTCGATGTCTGTCCCATTTGCCTTTCTGAGTGAGGATTGATCATCTTACCCACAGTCTTCCTTTTTGCATAGCTTCTTTAGGTGTACAGATTTTAGTATGTTTATCCTATATTATATGTCTAATATCCACTTATAAGTGGGTATATACCATGTGTGTCTTTCTGCTTCTGGGAAACCTCCATCAGGATGATCTTTTCTAGATCCCACAATTTGCCTACAGATTTCATGATGTCCTTCCACTGTGTAAATGTACCACAATTTTTGTATCCATTCCTCAGTTGAGGGACGTCTGGGTTGTTTCCAGATTCTGGCTATTACCAATAAAGTTGCTATGAAAATGGTTAAGCAAATGTCCTTGTTGTATACTTGAACATATTTTGGACATATGCCTAGGAATGGTATGGCTGAATCTTGCTTGAGGTAACACTATTCCTAATTATCTGAGAGAACGCAAGATTGATTTCCAAAGTGGTTGTTCAAGTTTACATTCCCACCAGCAGTGGAGGAGGGTTCCCCTTTCTCGATCCTCTCCAGCATGTATTGTCACTTCAGTTTTTTATCTTAGCTATTCTGATGGGTGTAAATTGAAATCTCAGAGGGTTTTTTTAATTTGCATTTCCCTGATAACTAAGGATGTTGAGTATTTCTTGAAGTGTTTCTCTGCCATTTGATATCTCTCTATTGAGAATTCTCTGTTTAGCTCTGTTCCACATTTTTACTTGATTTGTTGCTTTTTAAATTATAATTTATTTCATTTTATTTTATCTATTATGTTTACAATGTTTTGCCTGCATGTGTGCCTGCAGGCAGGCCAGAAGAGGGCACTAGATCCACCATGTGGTTGCTGGGAATTGAACTCAGGACCTCTGGAAGAACAGTGTTCTTAACCTCTGTGCCATCTCTCCAGCCCCACTGTTTAAATTCTTAAGTTCGTTATATATTCTGGATATTAGCCCTCTGTCAGATATAGGGTTGGTGAAGATCCTTTCCCAGTCTGTAGGCAGTCATTTTGTTTTGATAACAGTGTCCTTTGCTTTACAGAAGCTTTTCAGTTTCATGAGGTCCCATTTACTGATTGTTGATCTTAGAGCCTGTCCTGTTGGTGTTTTGTTAAGGAAGTTGTCTCCTGTACCAACGAGGTCAAGGCTCTTCCCCACTTTTTCTTCTAACAGATTTAGTGTCTCTGGTTTTATGTTGAGTCTTTGATCCACTTGGACTTTACTTTATGCAGGGTGATAAATATGGATCTATTTGCATTTTTTTACATGTAGACATCCAGCTAGACCAACACCATTTGTTGACTTTTTTTCATTGCATGGTTTTGACTTCTTTGTCTAAAATCAAGTATCCATAGGTGTGTGGGTTAATTTCTGGATCTTGTATTCGATTCCATTGATCCACCATTCTGTTTCTATGCCAGTACTATGCAGTTTTTATTACTGTTGCTCTGTAGTACAGCTTGAGATCAGGGATGGAGATACCTCCAGGTGATCTGTTGTTGTACAGAATTGCTTTAGCAATTCTGAGTTTTTTGTTTTTCCATATGGAATTGAGAATGGTCCTTTCAAGTTCTATAAAGAATTGTTTTGTTATTTTGATGGGAATTGCATTGAATCTGTATATTGCTTTTGACAGGATGGCCATTTTCACTGTGTTAATCCTACCGATCCATGAGCATGGGAGATCTTTCCATCTTCTGATGTCTTCTTCAATTTCCTTCTTCAGAAACTTGAAGTTTTTTTTTTTTTTTCAAACAGGTCTTTCACTTGATTTGTTAGAGTCACTTAAGTACTTTATGTTGTTTCCCTAATTTATTTCTCAGCCCTTTTGTTTTTTGTATACAGAAGGGCTACTGCTTTTTTTGAGTTAATTTTGTATCCGGCCACTTTGCTGAAGGTGTTTATCAGCTGAAGGAGTTCTCTGGTTCAATTTTTTGGGTCACTCGTGTATACTATCATATCATCTGCAAAAAGTGACTTCTTTGACTTCTTCCTTTCCGATTTGTGTCTCCTTGATCTTTAGTTGTCTTACTGCTCTAGCTAGGACTTCAAGTACTATGTTGAAGATATATGGAGAGAGTGGGCAGCCTTGTCTTGTCCCTGATTTCAGTGGAGTTGATTCAAGTTTCTCTCTGTATAGTTTGATGTTAGCTATAGGCTTGGTGTATATTGTCTTTACTATGTTTAGGTATGTGCCTTGTATCCCTGATCTCTCCAAGACTTTAAACATGAATGGGTGTGGATTTTGTCAGATGCTTTTTCAGCATTTAAGGAGATGATCATGTGGTTTTTTTTTCCATCATTTTATTTATATGGTGGATTACATTGATGGATTACCATATATTGAATCACCCTTGCATGCCTGGGATGAAGCCTACTTGGTCATGGTGGATGATATCTTTTATGTGTTCTTGGATTCGGTTTGCAAGTATTTTATTGAGTATTTTTACATCACTGTTCATAAGAGAGATGTTTGAAGTTCTCTTTTTTTTTTTGTTGGGTCTTTGCATGGTTTAGGTATCAAGGTGACTGTGGCTTCACAGAATGAATTTGGTAATGTTCCTCTGTTTCTATTTTGTGAAATAGTTTGAAGAGAATTACAGTTACCTCTTCTTTGAAGGTCTGGTAGAATTCTGCGCTGAAACCATCTGGCCCTGGGTTTGTTTTTGTTTTTTGTTTTTGTTTTTTGTTTTTTGTTTTTTTTTTTTGGAAGGCAGACTTTTTTGATGACTGCTTCTATTTCCTTGGGGGATATAGGACTATTTAATCTATTTATTTACCTGATCTTGATTTAATATTGGTAAATGGACTCTATCAAGAAAATTGTCCATTTCATTTAGTTTTTCAAATTTTGTGGCATATAGGCTTTTGTAGTAAGACCTAATGATTGTTTTGATTTCTTCAGTGTCTATTGTTATATCCCTCTTTTTGTTTCTGATTTTGCTGATTTGGATAGTTTCTCTCTGCCTTTTAGTTAGTTTGGCAAAGGGTTTGTCTAGCTTGTTGATTTTCTCGAAGAACGAATTCTTGGTCTCATTGATTCTTTGAATTGTTTTCTTTGTTTCTAATTCACTGATTTCAGCTCGGAGTTTGATTTCTAATCATCTACTCCTCTTGGGTGTATGTGCCTTCCCCCCCCCCCCCCCCCCAGGGCTTTTAGGTGTACATTAAGTTGCTTGTATGAGATGTCTCAAACTCTGTTCTGGAGGCACTTAGTGCTATGAATTTTCCTCTTAGCGTTGCTTTCATTGTGTCCCATAAGTTTGGGTTAAGTTGTCCCTTCATTTTCATTGAATTTTAGGAACTCTCTAATTTCTGTTTTCCTTTCTTCCCTGACCAAGCAGTCATTGAGTAGAAAGTTGTTTAGTTTCCGTGTGTATGTATGATTTTTGTTATATATGTTTTGATCTTTTTGTATCTGAAGCTTGCTTTATGCCCAACTATATGGTCAATTTTTGAGAAGGTTCGATGAGGTGCTGAAAAGAAGGCGTACTCTTTTGAGTTTGGGTGAAAAGTTCTGTAAACATCTATTAGGTCCAATTGATTTAGGACCTCTGTAAGTGCCATTATTTCCCTATTTAGCATCTGTCTAGATGATCTGTCCCTTGGTGAGAGTGGAGTGTTGAAGTCTCCCACAATTAAGGTGTTGGGATTGATATGTGATTTGAGCTTTAATAATGTTTTGTTTACAAACGTAGGGGCTCTTGTATTTGGGGCATAGATGTTCAGGATTGTGATGTCCTCCTGGTGGATTTTTCCTTTGAGTAATTTTGGTTGGAAGTCTATTTAATAAAATTAAGTTAGCTACCCCAGCTTGTTTTCTGGATCCATTTGCTTGAAAAA